TTCACAAAGTCAAACTGTCGATTAAAAACTTCGAAATACGTAAAATCGAGTATCAAGTTATGATAAAATTTTTGACAAAAGAGAAGAAGGCACCGACGGAAATCAAACAACGTTTGGATGCTGTGTACGGGCATTCTTCCTCCTCGTACTCCACCGTAAAAGAATGGGCGAAACAATTTCGTTTGTAAAGAGAATTAATTGATGATGAATTGCGCCCAGGACAATCATCCGAGGCCATTACGGATTAAAACATTAAATTTGTGGAAAAGATAGTAAGGGAAGACAGACGGTTAAAGACTAAAGGATTAGAAGTTATGGCGGTACTTTCAAAACAACAATGCTTAGAATCCTACATGAACATAAGGTTATGAATAAGCCAGTGCTAGGTCGCTCCCAAAACTTCTTTCCGCTATTCAAAAACAAGAACGAGTGAAGTGCTGTACTCAGTTTTTATCCCTTTGTGATGGCTGACAGAAAGAAGTTTTGGATCCAAATCCGAAAAATCCAACCAACGGTTGATAAAACGATGGTTCTTTATCATGATCCTCTGTCAAAAAAGGAATCGATGGAGTGGTGTCGTCCAACCTCAATGCGACCAAAAAGCAAAGGTGCTTCAATCATTGACCACAAAATCTTCTTAAATTCTTATGATACAACAATAAATTCGATTGAATTAGCCTTTTTAATTATTAATCAATCAATGTTCATTACAATATTAATTTCAATAATTGCAATAATAGTGAGCAGTAGGTAACTATTGCAATTTGCAATGGAAAACAAATTAAAACAAAACGTTGATTTATCATAAAATCTTCTAAAATTTTAATGAAATAACAAATTTAACTAAACTTCTTCTTAAAAGTCTTCTTTCTCACCGTACTACTATTGCAATTTGCAATGGAAAACAAAATTAAACAAAACTCTAATTAAAATGGTCTTAGATTATTATGAAATAATGATAAAATTTAATGAACCAGTCCTTTTTAAACTATAATTCTTTACTTTACTTACCTACTTACTATTATTGCAATTTTCAATGAAAACAAAATTAAAGAAAACAGTAATGAACTAAATAAACTTTAAATTATTTGTAACAAATATTAATTAATATCAAGTAATTATTCGCTTGCGCTAGCGATACAAGGTTAGGCGGGCAAAGCGGAAACCATCACATGACAAATGTAAAAAAGGTTCAAATTTAAAAAGACTAACAAAAGCCGGACAGGCCCGACACCGACTAATTTGGGTTAACACACTCAACCAAAAAGCCAGACTTATTCGGCTTTATCCGGACACCTGGTGATAGTCTTATCCCACCTCAACTCATTATAAACAGCGCCATCAATGTAAAATGCAAAGTGATGTTTTTCAATCACAGTATAATCTATTATCAAAGAATCGGAGACTATAATACCGGTGATCGTTTATTTCCAGTGTGTGGCTAGGATGTTAATGTATAACAGAATAACCTTGTCTGTTAAGATGCGCGTCTTATCTGTTGAGTTACCGACATCGTCCAATGTATCCGTAAAGGATGCGCAAAGGGCCGGCCATAGCTCGAAGAACCGACATCCTACGGAGAAGAAAGGTTCCCGAGTGGCAGTCTTCGTGGTAAGAGGAGTGAGATGACTCCCCACTTAATGGAGGCCGAACAATCTGGTAAAACATGCAGGATATTAATGTATTTAGGTGACTCAAGACCATGATAGTCGTTGGGGTAGGCCTATGATCAGTAGTGGACTTGTGGCGGGTTGTAATGGAAATCCAACTACAATTAATTGAAAATACTTATTTAATAAAATCCAGAGTTACGTAAAGACTGGGACGCGAGGATGGCTGTTTTTAATCGACACATAAAACAGAGTCTTGAGACGTTTTCGAGCGATTCCAAGTATCTACTTTGTGTGCACGCATAACCGGTTTATTTTAGAGACAAGCAAGGGAAATGCCATAATTGAATCTTGCTCCTTCCTTAAACTTGCCTCGTGCCAGCACTGGAAATTACATAGGTAAAAACTTTGATTATCTATTTTTGAGAAAACAAAATTTGAATATAAGAATTAAAAAAAAAGTCTTTCATTGGTAACAACTTGAACCAAATTGGAAAAATTTTTGCAAAATATGAGAATATGATTGTTCATTACAATTCATTACAATTGTAAGGATTAATTTTAGATAATAAATTTGGCTGAAGATTTCACATAGATTCTGTCTGTGACAAATTACGAGCTATACTGGCAAAATTCTACATTTTAAAACCTAAAGTACCATATAATATCCTGCTCAATATATATAAAGCCTTAGCTGAGTCAGTTATAATACATATACGGAATTTCAAGTTATGGACGAACCTTTAAGTCATATACCGAAAAAATGTATAAACTACAACTAAGATTACTCGAACTTATTGTACCTCAAATAATAAAACAACGACATAAAGATAACTTATTAGACATTTTCAAATACTGCAATATATTACCCATACAGATAAAATTTCACATGACCCTCTTAATTGAACAATTCAATAATAAAAGCATCAAAGTGCCCACATCCCATAAAGTAATTGCAAGAAATATTACCAACCAAAAATTAAATGTGCCTAGGATCTCAAATTAGTATGGTGGGCGGACAATAGAATTTTTTTAATTAATTAAACTCTTTTATATAACATCACGCAAAAAATTCAAAAAGAATTACGCACAAAAAAACTATAAACAAAAACTCAAAAAATACTATTATGGTAATCAGATCAGAATCATAGTTATTATTTAGTTTTATAATATTGAAACAGTCTGTGTATAATAATTAGTAGCTTGCGTTGTCTGGTAGAACAGGTTCTTCAAATAAAGCAATGAGCGCTCACGTCGGTGGCGCTCAATTCCGGAACGTCCCGTGTGAGAATTGCAAATGGGTGCTTACAACAATAAAGGCGGTATATTTAAAATGTATATTTTTGATTACTTTTAACAAATTAACTAATTATTTTAATGCTACGCAGTGCGTTAGTTGCGAATGTGAGTATCAATACAAATCATTTTTGGTTTAATGGTACAAATCTAAAAAATATGTATGAACACTTTTGATCAATAAATAGAAAATAAAGTAATACCACAGAATAGATAATAGTACAAGGTATACAATACTTCTTGTACTATTATATATTCTCTGGTAATACTAATATTTGAAGGTAAAAATAGTAAGTGACGTGTAAGAATATCTACTTCCCCATATCATCCCGTGGATGTACAGACAGACGTGGATGTCCCGACAGAAAACTGAACCAGTAGACGAGCAGCAATATGCTATCTTCCTGATAGCAGTTGAATTAAAAACTGCAGTTCTGCCAGCCGACTTGCCAAGCATGTTTCCGTGGTGGAAGCATATTTCCAGCAGTGGACTTTCGATAGGCTGTAATGGTTAAAGTCTAACTCATCCTTTTCTTTTAGATTTTAAAAAGAAAAAAAAAAAAAGATTGCAATATATTTTATATCTCCAGCGGTTATTCCGTTTATCCACCCTAAGAAATCTACCCTAGGGTGGATACTCGGAAACGCGTGTTCGTTTATCCACCATAGACGGGGTGGATAGTCGGAATTCACTTTTTGATGGTTGTTCCGTGTTTCCACCCCAAGTATAGTTCAACAGAAAATATATTCATAATTTAATATATAATTCTTAATATTTAATAACCCCAAACTTAATCAAAAATTATATTACGTATTGCATTAAAACCGAACACTCGGTTGGAATGAAGTTCCTTTCGTAGTATATTATTATTGATGAACGTATTATATTATTGATTAACAAATACTAATAAATGAATTATGTACTAGCGTCTATTAAAATGAAGCGTCATTTAAAATATAATAATATTTCTTTCATGGCAAGATAAAAAAAAGTGCGAGGGACTACGTCAGAAGGGCTCGTTACGGAAAAATCTTACACTTTTTCTCGCCTAGCCCCCATCCGCCAAATTCGTAACATCCGATAAAAGACTTCGTTCCAATAAGTAATTTATAAATTCTGTAATATGTCCAGGAAATGACCAACACTAATTTAATTGTTGAATAGACGAAATTGTATACCCTGTAGTGTAGATAAAATGTACGTTAAAAGAGACGAATTTACGTATCTTTTAATGTACATTTGCAATCTTTTTCTAAATTTCTTTGTTACAACAGCTGTGTTAGCTGTGTATATGTGTATGTATACATAATATAACATTAGTGCTAAAAGCGAAGTAATAAACTCGTTTAAATATGAATATCGTGGGGGGAAAAAAAGGTACATTTAAAATATTATTTTGGCAACAAAATTTAATTAAAACACACAAAACTACGTGCAAATATTAAAGATAATTAATATTTCTCGATACTCTGATGTTTTCAGCAAATAATACACAATAAAACACTATTTACGAAATAAAATGAACAAGCGCTGAATGGGGGCACTTTAATTGACGTTTTTCGACTGGCAAAATCTTCAAATTTGTCAACGAATTACAGATTTAAAATTATTGTTATCTAGCTTTATCTATCAACAAGCCTTTTCATAAATATGAACAAGTTAAGAAACCGGCAACACAGAGAATTATTCGAAATCCACGGCGACTGTATGGACAGTCCGACGTCGAACCTTCCCGCCTGTTTTTACTTAGAAAAGGTTACTTGTAACGCCTTTAAGCTTTGCTGTTAATTACTCCATCTTCACTGAAAATACTTATTCTATATTCGGTTTGTCATGTCAGTTGGTGTAATTAGAGACGGCTATAAGTTGCCAGAAAGATCTAATGGCCTCGGACTGTAGGTGTGTTTTGGCGATAGGAAGTCGCGTCAAAGTTTTATTAAGTATTTACGGACAATTCTTCCGACAATGGAAGAGGCTCATGTTTGTAAGGTGTTAAGTGATAAGTTCCTGTCCCTTATAACGATTTTTTCTAATGTAACTGTATTAGAGAATTAAACTTTTTTATGTAAGTACTTCGAATTTATAATTCAAAATCAGCCCCCATGTTGCCCGTCAGGATCGTTTACTACCGAACACAAAGCTCTGTGAGTACGATCCCTGCAGTGAGTGCCTTGGGGACAATTACCACAAGTAGCGCCAGCTTCATAAATGGGAAAACCTTCAATGTTCCCCGCCGGTCCATAATTACAGAATGTAAATGCTACAATTTTTAAGTCCCTTCGCCTCCTTCTTGAAATGTTATTTAAAACACCACGATATAAAGGCGATTCTGCATCATCATCCCTAACAGTAGTTGCGAAGTCTTCAAATCTCGATGATTTTGGTGGTGTCATATATCTCGTCCTTCGAAGAATATTTTCAGTTGTTGTAGTGGTACTGCTAGGTTTTATTTCTTCTGACTCAATATTATTATCGAAACGACGTGTTCGCCTTTTTTTACGAAATAGGACACACGACGGTTTTCTAACAGTACAAAGAGCTTGCGAACATCCTAATCGCCATGTTGAAGCCCAAGCTGCCGCCGTATACCAGTGTGCATTACATCCACCCGGACCACTACAGTTACTCAATTTAAAAGACCACACGTTTTCCGGTGGCAATGACCTAGATCCTGAAAACCACGCCCCAACAGTGTCAGCAAGTAACTGCGCCTCGGTCACTCTGGGAACTACAGGACGCACATCCATATTCTGTAAGGCATTAAATCTGATCGTGTTTCGGCACTCGTCGTGTCTCTTTTGGCACTGTCGAGCCCAAACCTCAGCCATCTCTTCGAGCTCATAATCCCAGTACATCTTCCGCATATTAGTTGCAGGTGGTTGACCGGCCTCTAATCCCATAGCAATGTTATCACGATGCCTATTGTGCAGCAATAACACTTGATATCTCATCCAAGTTGTCATCCCCGATGCATACAGTCTGGAACTCTCTTTATTGTTAGCTGCACATAAAGTATGCTGGTTCTTCATAGAACAATCTGGATGTTTACAGTAATCGAACTTATTAATCGTTTGGTTTTCTTTGCAACATACCCATCTTAATAAAAATATAAATAAAATTAAGGAAATAACAGACATTTCGTGTACACTTGATAGAAATGTAAAATTAAATAAAGCGATTTAGATAAAACATTATCAAAGAATAAATCTTGTCACAAGCGCTGCTTGAGTGACGTTAAATTTCTAAAGTCAAGCAATAGAAAACTAGACCTATCAAGTAGAATATATAATAATCTATGAAGTATGAACTTAAAATATGGTTGTATCCATAGACTTAGAATATACTGGCGTAATATTCTAAGTCTATGGCCTATTATAGAGGTCAGTGGGTTGTATTGATATTTTTGCTTTGCATCGATTTAAGTGGCTTGATTCATTCGATTACATTTAAGTAGCTTGATTCATTCGATTACATTCAAAATCGATTAATTGCATGCCCTGCACAATATTATTAAGAGACCTTCATAGGTCTTATGATTGATCCAACACAATGAATAATCTGGAAAAAAGTCACAAATTTGAACTTTTAAACTCAAGTCCGTTTTTTGGTTTTTTTTATAAACCGTAATAATAATTAAGACTAACTCCAATAATTTAAGTAAAACACTCTCAGAAAAAAATCTTCGAAAGACAAACAGACACATAGATTACTGAAGTAAACAGACAGCTAGGTGATTTCATTAGTTCTGTTTTGCTGAATTGGTCACGGAACAATAAAGAAAAAAAAAAAGAAAAAAAAGTAAAAGCCGACTTAAACAGACTTAAGAATGTGATTTTATTTTATTCTATACAGGGTTATTTTGCAATAACCGGCCAAATTTGCAGAGATGGTTCCCACATTCGTAAGGGTCGATCGGTAGCCGAAAACGTTGTTGCTGTGGGATGCTCGGATCCCGAAAGATGTGAAACATAAATTATAGAAAGACACACGCTCAGTACTTACACAACTCCCATACGAGAAGCAACGGCTCCCGAAAGTAGCGTAGTACGTATTACGTACGTAGTAGAAACCACGCTGCATCTATAATATTATGGTTGTAGCACGAATGGGTCGGCTCGACCGGGAAAGGACCACGCTCTCACAGAATACGATAAAATAAAATTGCAGCTCATTGCTTCTGTGTGGTGAGTGTAGAGGATCGGGGACCTATTTTACTGGAAACGAGGTATTCCATCGTAGTCCTCAGGGGTGACAACTAACGAATCAAAATGAATATTTTGATTATAAATCAAGAATAAATGAAATGTCTTTAGTCCACTGCAACACAAGGCTGTAGACCTGAATCACAAAGCAGATCAGCAGAATTCCAGAGTCCAGGTGATTGCGCATGCAATCCTTAACATCCTTCCTATAACACGAGTGTCGCGAAAATATTCATTTGTTATTACTGCTCCCGTCGCGCAATATTTAAACATTCCACTATTTTAATAACTGCACCGCATATACCTAACAAAAGTATAAATAAAAAAAAACTCATTATTTATTGTACCCATTTTGAGAAGCTGTGGTATCTGCTTAGTGATGTTTTACGTCAGAAGACGTTATGGCATTTGTGTCTCTAAATTTCAATTAAAGTGATTTTTTTACTTTTAACTACGTTTTTGTATTAAAATCGTTATAATAAAATGTTTAACGATGGGCCACAAAATTGTTCTAATGTTTCTGCGTGGGGCTACAATGCTAATGATGTTTATAGCATTCTTCTTCAATTCTGAACACGAAAACCCACGAGCATTTGGCCAGTTTGTAAAATCTGGCATATACGGGAGTTATTCAATTATAACATTAGGTCTGCTTTGTGAAGTTGGGCTTAGCATTAACTCCGATATATGCATTGAAGCAACATTCTTGATAGGAGGTGTTTTCTGTAATTTAATATGTGCGACTATAGCTTTTACGGATTGTCATACAACATACCACCAAGAGACATTGGATATGGGAGTGTTGTCAGTGCTTAGCAGCTTTATATATGCAATAGATATTCTGCTCCTAATTTTCCTTTAAGGTACCCCTTCAATGTGCAGGTAATTCTACATAAATATCAAGTAGCATTTAGATAAATAAATTAAGACTAACAGTATAATTGTTTTAAGTTAATGGCCACACTGCTCCACAGCTAAATCTTTAGCCACCTAGCCATCAAACTTGCTTCTTGTTAACTAACAAAGGTAGTTTAGGTAATTAATTTGTAACATATTTAGCAGATTCGTGAAGGCATTATTACCACTGCAATGTGCATCGACTCTGCGCGCACCAACCGGTCTCTTCAGCGTGGTGAGTAGAGCAACAATTAAGAAATATGTACATGCCAACTGGCGCTTTTGGAAAACTTTGTTTCCCATGGCTGGCAATAATGCTAATACTACACTACCCACAATAGAATTTTCATCACTTCTACTTAGTTAATTCATTTTATTGTTTATTCATTTGTACGTGGTAGGGTCATGCTGCAGATATATTAGTAGTATAGTTGTAGCACGAATGGGACGGCTCGACCGGAGAAGGACCACGCTCTCACAGAATAGCAGCGTAAAATGGCAGCTTGACACTGCTGTGTTTCGTATGGTGAGTGTAGAGAACCGGAGACCCATTTTACTGGAAAGGAGGCATTCCATCTTAGCCCTCACGGGTAACGACGCATCTGCATTTTGATTCTTTATTGAGGTTAATCACAATGGGTCACAGCAACCACTTACCAACAGGTGGACTGTGTTCCCGTTTGTTACCCTTATTCTACAAAAAAAAATTAAGTACGAAACGTAAACAAGGAGATCTTTATTCGTTTTCTTTTACTGAAAAGGAAGAAAGAAGAGGGTGAATTGAGCGAAAATGAACCGAAAGCCAACCCAAAGTTTATCAGATACATCCTTATGATTATATTGCACTATGTATTATAATTAAATTCATATACAGAGCCGGAACCAATCCCACTGGCCAGTACATCCACTGCTACCGGCACTTGCGCTGAAAAACTTTTTTCCCGAATTTAAAAATTCTTCTCCAAGTTATCGCAATATTACCCTTATCCATTAGTAGCATCGATAGTAGGTTCAAAAAGAAACTCAATATGTGTTAAATGAGCAATATAAAAATTTGTGTGGTTTCTTTTTTTTAGGTTTCAATGTTTATATTATATTACCTTGAGGTCTCAAGGTAAAGCCTCTTCCAAACCAAAATCCTGGATCCGCCACTGACCTATTTTTATATATGGATATAAACTCACATCTACTCGAGAAACGGAAAAAATATATTTGAAACACAATTTTTCGCTCATATGTTGATACTGTGTAACAAGTAACTTCACCTCAGTCCCAACAGGCGACATCTGGTAAGCTTAAAGTTATTAGCCATTTTTGTTTTTATTACTTTACATTGGCAAAGAAAAAAAAACTTCGTTCGTTTAATAATTACATTACTTAAAAAATATAAAATTACACTGACCGTTTCAAGAGCTAGGCATCAGCCGTATGTTTGTTTTATATTTGTGAAAGACCATAAAATCAGGGCGACCTCGTGTTCTTAGGACCAGACGGTCTGGGAACGTTGGTGAAACCAGAATTCAACAAAACACTATTATAGGGAAAAAAATTGCGTGAAAGATTTCCGCTAGTACCGAATTGCGAATTATCAAACAAGACCAGAATCTAGGTGCTGATCGTCAATGCAAGACATACTCTAAATCAGTCCCTGCAGCTTAAATTTAAGAGATTGGACCGATCAAAACGCGTGCTATTACAATAAATGCGTCGAAATTATCATCTAACATCTACAAGATTATCATCATTATTATTAACATCAGGCCGTAAACATTTCACTCCTGAACATAGATTTCTTCTGCTGTTAAAGTGATTTTTTTAAACGTTAAGTTTGGTGAAGACCTGCTCACCGTATTTGTGGAAAAGAATCTTTTTGTGACGAACACTTTTTTTCGCCATATGAGAATTCACATGTATACCTGGGAAAGAGGGGATGATAGAAGCATGATAGATTTCATAATTGTGGCTGAAAGAATGAGGAGCGCAGTGGTAGATACAAGGGTTTACCGGGGGGCCAACGTAGGGACGGATCATTACTTGGTCTTATGCCAAATTAATGGTCTATTCAGGTGTTAGCGGCTTCAGACATCTGTGTCTACCACTGCACTAGAGCGTACAAGAATAGAGAGGCTACAAGATGAAGGTGTAAAAGAGGAGTATAAATGTAGACTGAGGGAAAATATAAGTGGTTTGAATGAATTATGTATGAGTGATTTAGTCTTGAAGACTGTATGGAATAAAATAAAATAAAGTTTTGGTGGATGCAGCCACCGAAGTATGTGGTGTAAGTAAGAGAACGAATGAAAGGAAAAGTAATACGTTGTGGTGGGATGATGAGATACGGATGGAAGTTGAAGCAAAGAAGAGAGCATGGCTAGATTTACTAGCAACCAAAGCTGGTAATTCTAGCGGTATGAATGATGAGATTGAAAGAAAAAAGGCAGACTTTAGACGTATAAATAAGAGAGTAAAAGAATTTGTTGAAAGGAAAAAGCAACAAAGGATGGATAAAAATGATAGAAGGACATCTGATAACTTCCAGGCAAATATTAAAATGTTCTGGAAACTCGTAAGAACTGCCAGGGGAAATTCAAAACAGCCTAGAATGAATGCTATTCGAGACGAGAATGGCTGCATGCTGAATGATGGAGTTTCAAATTTAAAGAGATGGAAGGAATACTTTGAAAGCGTGTTTAAGAGTGAAGAGTCGTCTGAAGTAAGTGAAATAGAAATTCCCGGAAGAAGTGGAGAGAGGTAGGGAGATAAGTGTAGATGAAATAATGAAAGCAATGAAACGCATGAAATCCGGTAAGGCAGCCGGATATGATAGAATATCTATATAGAGGGTGTGGTTGCAGGCCTGCTGTGCACCTTGTTAAATTTATGTCGGGAACTGAAGCGGGTACCGGAAGAGTAAATGCAAAGCCGTTATAGTCCCAATATATAAGGGAAAGGGCTCGCAGCAGGACTGTAAACACTACCGTGGTATCAGCTTGCTTAGCATTGTGGGTAAGCTGTATGCTAAGGTGTTAATTGAAAGA